ACTTCATTTTCTGGAACAAAATCGTTAATATTCGAGAGACTGTCATTTTGTACAAACATCGAAACGATCAAAAACATAATGATTTTAATTGGGAAGTTTAAAATCAAAGACAGTCAACAATACTATATATAAACTTCACTGGAATAGGGCGGAATGTGTAACAACAAAGCAAATTCACAAATAATAAATGTAAATCATCAAATAGGCATCATCTTGAAAATAATGCCCTTGTGCAGACAGCAAATTAGTAGATTTACTTGAGTTATACGAAAAAGTAAACTACTTAGAATTCGTAACAACAATGTAAACCTCAATATAGCATCTTTTTTCCAACGCGTCTGCCAACAGTAAGCGTATGTTTTTATTTCAGGGCTAATGTGATTTATTAAAGGGATAAGTTTACATGGCCTGCAATTAGTTTGTTTTGCAAATTAACATATTTCGAATTTAGAATTTTTTTCATGTTTGGACGATCCCTACCTCTATTGTGCGCCGCCTAAAAAACCGAACTGCACCGTTTGTTGTTTTATTTTGGTTTATTCCGAAAAATTACAATTATGAGTTTTTTGCCCATAGCTGGGACGCCCTATATATTTTTGACTAAAATAAAACATGATTTTGGATTAATTCACCGAATCTCGTGCGTCTTCCGATTCAAGATTTTTTTCGATCAGACATACCGTTTTTACAAAAAGTGAAACAGAAACGAAGAAATTCGAAACTTGCTTTGCTTTTCGAAATATTCGCCCTGCCAATGCCCAAACCAATTCTGGAAACATTTTTTACACCCTGATATCATAGAAACAAGGTTTGTACGAAATTCTGCAAACCAATTGTAGATAATCTTCTCTCTTGGTGCGATTCTATACATTGTTATCGAATAAGGCCTTTTTTAAAACTATTTCCAAATTTTCTGGATTCCTCCTGCGTTGGTTGTTGATGAATCGAACTTGCTGAGGTTTGTTGGCTTCTTCGGGGATTAACTGAAACTGGAAAAATTAACAAGCCTTTTTTAAAATCAAAAAAATACTTCACTTGCTTCCTTTAATAACTTACTCGGTCAATTTTTAGATTGTTCACACATGCAGTGATGCCACAATTCATTTAACTTTTGGAACGGTCACAAGATTGTCTCAATTTGATGTGCTTCCTGCATTTGAACTGTTCTCGCCGTTACCGCTTTTACGGCTGTTGACGCCTTAAAACTACTTGTTACATAAAGTCGTGTGTAGAGCTTAATAAAAGTTGCCAACTGCGAAATTAAATTAAATAATAATTTGTTAGAACCATTTTCGGATGGAAAAAACAGTTAGTTGTAGGAAAATGTTTGTGGTTGTACTGTTCAAGAATTAAATCGATCTAACAATTTTTAAAAAGTTTGCCATGGCGACTTCTACAAATTTCAACTGTTTTACGCAAAAATGATATCGAAAATCCATTATTTTAGTAATGAATTTACTTATAAAAATACTTATACAAGTACGCACAAAAAATTGAACGATTGAAACGAACCTTAACGATATAACAAGTGATCGCATTTCATTTAATGATTAAAGACATTTAAAACATGTATCGGTCGATGAAATTCTTTCTGCTATTGCTTGACGTTATTGATCTACCATATATTTATTTTTTTTAAATGGCCATAAAAAACCCAATGGGAATAAATTTTAAGCAATTTAAGAGCAAAAACATCTTAAATTGTGCAAGAAATGTATAAACAGCAATAAATGTGAAAATGTTTGTGGTTATACCTACTGTTTAAGAATTAAATGGAACTAATTATTTCAAAAATGTTCGAAATAAACAAACACTATTTGTTCAAATTGGGAGAATTATAAAAAGGGAAAGTAAAAATAATTTTCAAATTTTGCCATAGCGACTTCTGAAAACTTCAATTGTTTTACATACTAATGATAGTGAAATCTATTTTCTTTTTACTTATAAAAATACTTATAGAAGTACGTACAAAAAGTTATGACACTTCAGAATAAGACAAACACAAGAAACTTTAATGATAAAACAAATAATCCCATTTAATTTAATCATTTAAAGCATTTAAAACATGTGTCGATTGATGAAATCCCTCTGCTATTGCTTGTCAATCTACCATGTAATTATTTTGAAATATATACATTTTTTTTAAATTGGCTATACCAAACCCATCTAACGGCAAAAAATTAGCCGAAGGTGCATAAGTAGATGAGTTTCCCACCTAAGAAAAGCATTTTATATATTCACAGCATTGACAAAAATACCTTTATCTTGAGATCACCCTGCAAATTTGCGAAAATTGCGGGGTTGTTGTTATTAAATTTTTCATAACAATAGTCCAATAATACACAAGTGAGAATGTGGTTCTAAAGATATGATACAGTTTGAAATATACTGTACAGGAAAGGGAAGCTAACCTAACCAAAGGCTACATGAGATACATGAAAGCTGATGTCGGTATCTGGGTTCAATTTCTCTCAAAATATCTGTAACTTTTACACTATTTAGAACTTAATACATGATTTTTTGGAATAATAATTAATTACTTTCATGCGTGACATCTATTTGTTTTGTTTTGTTGTTTGTTTAAAACGTGACTCCGTATTTAATAGGAGTCGAGAAAATGATCAAGTATGACATATACAGAGTGCCCGATATAAAAAACATATTTTTTTTATAACTATTAAAATAATAGCTTTACAAAATGTTATAATTTCACAAATAAATCTTACAATCAAAAAGGTGCTATGGACATGTTTTCATAGAAAAACGCAGTCACAGATTATCATGTACGGCTGTTTATGAAAATCTCCAAACACGACTAAAGGCCGCTAGACACGATGCAATTTCTACACCAATTTCTGCAAAATTGCTGTTAAATAAAAAATACAATTATTTTTAACTGGCAATTGGTAGACGAGATGCAATTTTTTTCTAGCAAAAAATTATTATGGAGAAATTTTGTTTTTTTAATTTTGAAACCATACACGATACTTCCTAGATTTTGTTGGTGCAAAAATGTTTTTACCGCGATTATAATAACTTGTGGGTATATAGGGAAAATCCCACTATACTAGAAACGAGAGAAATGAAGCTGTCCATTTGAAGTGCTGAATAAAATCCATAGTATATAGGCTGCTTTCTAATTGAATGTCAATAATTTTTATAAATTTTATAAAGAAAATTTCATATAAACACATGTCCTAAACGTCTTAATTTTTGAGATACAGACAGGGTGGTAAAGTTTCCAAGAATAAAATATATTTTTTTAATATCGGTAATATCTACAGGTACGCCCGCCACTGGCATATTTAAGAACACTAAATAACGCCTATGGATACATAGTACATGTGTGCCAAATTTCAAATATATTTCAAAATATTATTAATATTATTATTATTACAAAGAATAAAGTGCAGAGGAAAACCTATTATGCACATTGATAGTTAGTAACATAATACATATAATAAATATTTAGTTATTGCTGTGAAACAATACACTGTCCAAGCGACGTTTAAATACAGACAAGTTCTGCGCACACACAACATCTGAGGGTAAACTGTTCCAATAATTGAAAGTCCTGTTAAAATGCAGGCGATGTGAAGTCCTGAATTGTTCCTTCCTTATTTTAAATGGATGACCACGGGGACGTCAGATGGAAATTGGTCATGCGCAAACCTATACATTTGAATGAGATCCCCTCGCAACCGACGCTGACTTAATGTTGGCAGACTAAGTATTTTGAGACGGTCATCGTATGGTGTATGTCTAAGCTGAAGTGGCTAGCGAGTAGCGGGTCATTGCACTCTCTCCAGAACATCACAGTCACGCAATAGCCATGGGTTCCAGACTGGGGAAGCAAATTCCAGGATGGGGCGAATGTAAGCGGTGAAAAGCATGCAAGCGATGCGAGGACTAGGATTTTTGAAAGTCCTTTTTAACCAAAATAATGCGCAGTTTGCTTTCTTTGCAATATTTAATACATGTACAGACCACGCAAGATCATTAGTTACTGTCACACCTAGGTCCATCTGAGAATCGACACTCGACACAAAGTTTCCATTGATATAATAATTCAAACCGGGATTGTTCTTGCCAACATGCAGCACAGAGCACTTTTGAGCATTCAGCGGCAGTAGCCAAGTTGAACACCACTTGGAAATAGTATTCAAGTCTCTCTGCAATCAGCATAAGCTCTCACATGAGAATCAATGCTGGAGAGCAAATCCACGGTGTACACTAAGAATAGCACTGGTCCCAGCACCGATCCCTGGGGAACACCACTAGGCACGTTTTGTGGCAGTGAAAAAGCGTTACCAATTCGAACTCTGAACGACCGGTGGCTTAAGAACGCTGCTATCCACTCTAGCAGTTTACCCTCCACTCCAACCTTTTCAAGTTTGAATAACAAGCGTCGATGTGGCACTTTGTCGAAAGCTTTGCTGAAGTCTAGGTAAATAATATCCACCGGATCACCTGAGTCAAGAGATGATGTCCAGTGATTCAAGCATGTCAATGTATTTGATATGACAGGATCTGCCGAGAACAAAGCCATGCTGGGATGTAGCTATAATATGGCAGTCGATCAAAAACGGTAACAGCTAATTTACTAAAGGCGTTCAAGAACCTTACATATAATACACACTAGGCTGATAGAGCGGTAATTTGAATCATCGAGCTTATCACCCTTTTTATAAATCGGTGTTACATTTGCGGATAAAAGATAAAGTAAACGCAAAGAGAGTATTTACATATTTATGTCAATTTTATTAATTAACAAACTATTACGTTTTTAGAATTTTTGAACTTTGAACAAATAAACGGCAATTAAGAATTTTACAATAACTCCATCGTATTATCTCGTCCGGCGAATTACTAATTCATTTATTTTTTCCACTTCAAATGCATTGATTGCATTATAGTTTTTTCTTTAGTTTGAAGTAGTTGGTAAACAAACACTCGAAAATTTTGCTACAAAAAGGGCCGCGAAATAAACGTTAGAAACCAGAAAAGCAACGATGGCGTTCAAGCTACTAGCGCTGACGATACTTTTTGTAGCCTTGGGAGCTCAAAGCTCGCCAACACCAGACGCGTCGTGTACAATCAACTCGGTTAACGATGTGAACACGGTTGTGTCTAGTTGCACAACCATTACGGTGGGTAGTTTTACTGTTCCCGCCGGGACCACCATGATCATGAATTTGAAGCAAGGATCCAAAGTATCCTTTACCGGAACAATCGATTGGGCTCATAAAGAATGGAACGGTTATCTTCTCGAAATCATAGGAAACTCCGTCACTGTCGAGGGTACAGGAAGTAAGTGCATTTTATAGTTCTTGATTTTACATTTTAACCGTTAAACCATTACGTTCTAAACTGTGCAACTCTATACATTAATTCCTGTAGACCACTTGTTCCACGGACATGGGGAGCAGTACTGGGACGGTTTGGGCGGAGCGGGTACCAAGAAACCCACATTTATGTATCTGAAGGGTACCGATTCAACGTTTAAGAACTTCAAAATCAAAAACTGTCCCATGAGATGCGTCGCTATCGACGGATCGAACAACTTAGTTGCGAGTGGTTTCACCATTGACAATGCTGAAGGTGCACCGGTAAGAATGTTTTTGTGTATGGATGGTTGGTGTAATTTAAACATCGGCCTTAGGTCTAAACCTTATGCCCTACACAGCAGCGATCATATTACTCGTCCTCCGTTAGTACTGCCCAAGTTTGAGAAAAATGCATTCGATACATTGGACACTCAGCTGCTCCGTAGAAAACTTTGATATTTTAGTCTTGTAGTTGAATTGAATTGAAAGAGCTAATATGATTTAGCCTTACTTCTATTAAAGATCTCAGCAAGTGATTTAATTTCGCAAGGTGTAGCCCGAAGGTGAAGTTTAGGATCTCTTCTTCTATCAAGCTCTATTTCATATTTCTTTCTTCTGGTCAAAGCATTCACAATATATGTTTCAGATTTGCCTTTAACTATTTATTTTCGTTAGTTAAATGATATGGGATCAAAAACACTAAAGTTAAAGTTGCTTAGAAATCTGCAGTTTTTAAAGCCTTCCTATTTTAATAAATCGTTTGCATTATTTCACCAAACTTATAATACTAATATCACAAGGAAACAGATTTTTTACCACACCAAGTATCCTTTTCTTACAAAGCGGCTAAATTACTTTACCTAACGAAAGTTACCCAGGGAATTTATTAATGGGGGTACAAAAATGAGCTGAACTTGTAAAATATACGCCGTTTGTACAGGTGAAATCAGCATCGAAAAAGAAACGTTTTTATCTGTTCTCTGTTCTCTGTTGTCTGTCCTCGCTCCATAAAAACGCGAATAACTTCCGAACGATTTGAGCAAACTAGCTGAAATTTAGCTCCTTTTAAACAGTCCATCGGACCTTGGCGTCCATCATTTGTGTTCTAAATTTTTCACTGTTTTTCTTACATCGCTATGAAACATCATAAGTGTCCGAAATGTAAGGCTATCGAATTCAAACGTGGCACAGGTATGAAACGGAACCTATTGAAGGTATGAACGCGGGGGGATCCGGAAGTATCTTCAAAATATTAAAAATCTCGTTTGCAACGGTCCGCGAAAAAAAGATAATTTCTCAAAAACGATAACAAATATTTTGAAAAAAAATTGACCGAAAGGACGCTTAAGATCCCGGTCGAAAATGATCAAAAATATTTTTTTTCAGAATGTATAGGGTGCGTCGGTAATTTGCAAAAATCTAAAAATTGGGTTCTTCTTCTAAAGACTAGAAGGTTGTGTTTCAATTGTCAGTGACTTTGACATTGCCATACCGGCCGTATAGACACACCTAAAACTTTTTGATTCAATGTTTCCCCATATTGTACCCTGATTTAGCAGGGATGTAGAAGCTTATACCCACATTTAAACTTTAATTTTGAAAAGGTTTTTCTGGTTATCTAAATTGTTCTTTCCCAGAGTAAATTATTAGCCGTAAATCAAAATTCTCAAAAAAATATGGCTAATTGGTTCAGATAGTGTTGAAGATCGCATAAATAGCTACAATTTTTATATTTACGGTTTTCGCATAGCCGTAAATGAAGAACTATAAAACATGGGAAAATTTGGTTTAAACGGTGTCATAAACTGTGTCATTGGAAATCGCTATTAGTTGTACAAATTTTTATATTCAACAAATGTTTGCTGTGACTTTGACGTTCCGTTAGACGTGAAAAACACTTTATACAGTACATGCACAATAAAATTACATCGATGTTGTGAAAGTTCCATAGTCGTCCGCAGAAGCACCATAGAAAAGCATTGCGTCCCGCGAAGACGCTTCCATGAAATACAAAGCCGCGTAGAGTTTAGACGAGATTGCGAAAGCAATCTAGTTCTAATAATCGTCTAATCCTCTGTAGGTCATACTTCTTCGCCTTTTTAATCAAATTGATTAATACTGTTGTGTAAGTAAAGACCCTTTATTATTATTAATTGTTAAAGGGTACCGCAAAGAGTGGAAAGGAAGGTCACAATACCGACGGTTTTGACATCGACAAATCGACGTACGTTACTGTCAAAGACGCCACTGTAACGAACCAGGATGACTGCGTGGCTATCAACGGCGCACAACATATCACCATTGACAATTTCCACTGCATAGGAAGTCATGGTTTCGACATAGCCACTGGAATGTCGTCCGACTATGACCAAAACGTCGTTCAGAACGTCACTTTCTCCAATTCCGTCCTAGATGGAGGAATGTACGGAATACATATTTTGACGTGCAACGACGGAGGCCAAGGAAAAGTTGATACGGTTTACTACAAAAACATCAAAATTAACGGTAAGATTGACTACTTGTAATTGTAATCTCTAAATTAAATACCTCCAGTCAATAGGCGCCTTGCATAATTTTTAAATTTGAGGCAAAACATCATAAACCCTTCTTTAATGACGTGATAATTTTTTTTTGAATAAAATTATTTCTCTTAAAATTGGGCCGCTGAAAATTTCAAATAACCTAAACTCTTTTATTTATGAATTCTACGTTGCTTTATATAACTTATTTGTGCTAGGTGTTTTAACTTCACTTTGCAATAGTGCATCGCGACCTCACAATCGATATCGCCGACTTTTGCGGGCTCCACGTGGATGTGTAAAGTCATTCTGAGTTAACAATATTCGACAGATATGTTCTAGATCTACTAATAAACATTTCTAACAAATAAAAAAATTAGGTGCAAGGAGAACATAAAACAAATTTTATTGCAATTGCAGGGCATTGAATGTAATGACTTTTTGTTGTTTTGTATTCAACAAGTATCGGATATTGTCAATATTTAAAAAAACAGGCATTAAACGCATTCATACACCTACATAAACTCAGTCTCAGTCTAAAAAGTCAAAATTAGGATTTAATTGTTTACATAGGTTGAAATTTTCAATGACTTCATATGTACTAGGAGTAGTTTTATAATTCAATATACAAGGTGTTTTCTAATTAATTGTCAATAATTCTGAGGGCGATTTTTAGGTAAATTTTAAAAAGATAACTTCATATTAACATATGTAGTAAACGTGTTTACTTTTGAAATACAGGGTAGTAAAGTTTTCAAAAATAAAATATATTTTTTTAGTATCTATAAAACCACTTTAGATATTTTTCAAAAATATACCAGTAGCGGGCGTACGGAATTTCACCTGTCTATTTCGGCAGGCATTTTATTTCTTGATTTTTTTCAATCCGGTTTTCGCTTAAAAAAATAAAAACCTCTTCTCTGCATGGTTATAAGATCATTAATGTGACAACATCGCAGAGAATTATTATCATTATTATTTCTTACTTAAGTAATTGTTTTAATAAAATATTTCAAAAAATTGAAGTACGAATACGAAGTACGTAATCTCTGAGGTTTGTTTTTTAAGTTTTATAATTATTTTTTATCATTGTAGTAGGCTGTCTGTAAGAATTATTAATTCTGTTGTTAAGGCAGTTGTTTAACATCAGTTTTTAAATTCAGTTCTTCGCGTGATATTGATATTGATCAGAGAATTGTTATTTTAAAAAAGAATGATTGATTTTACTAATGAGGAGTTGCCAGATATGCATTTCATGTATGGCGGGAAGCTAGGTGATTGTATCAAGAGCGCTTTCCTGATAGAATCATACCACATAGGCGAACATTTTCAAATGTACATAGAAGGTTGACTGAAACACGTATTTTGAAGGCAAATGATCACTTAAAAGGGGCCCAGCGCAATGTAAGAACTTAGTACTAGAAAAATTAGGAATAGTCTGCATATCTCGCACGTCTTGGATTGGAAAATTTTGCAGGATTTTCTATTCTACCTATAACATTTTCAACAAGTCCAAGCGTTGTTTCCCAGAGATTTTCCCTTTTTGGACAAAAAAATAATTTTCCAGAAATGCAATCAGAAATTTCTAAAATAATCATATTTGTGTCGATGAAAACCACAATTCAGTGATAGAATTTAAATATCAAGAACAGATTTTGGTAAATGTTTGGGCTAGAATTGTTGGGAATTACATAATTAGACCCTTTTTCCTGTCAGAAAGGCTAAATGGCGATAATTATCCGCGGGTTTGTTGAAGAGAATTTGCCAATGTTGCTAGAAGTACCATATTTAATTAGGAACAGGATGTGATTCATTTAGTGTTGCAGTAAGAGAATATTTAAATCAGACATATAATTACCGATGGGTAGATCGCGGCGGCCTTCAGTCATGACCCTTTGGGTTAAATAGTTTGGACTTTTTCTTACGGGGGCATCTTAAAAGTCTGGTTTATCCTCAGTTAACACGGTCAAAGAGCTAAAGCATCGTACAAGAGCTTCCTGCGATTTCATAAGAAACAGAAGTATTTCTCTGCATGCTGTCATATTAATAATATTGTTATGATCATGCAGAGAAGAGGTTTTTATTTTTTGAAGCGAAAACCGGATTAAAAGGGATTTAAAAAAATCACGAATTAAAATTTCTTTAGAAATTATTGAGTATTATAAAAATAAGTTTTATTTTAAGAGAAATCCGTGGAGTACCAAAATAGACAATTGAAATTCCGTATGACCACTAACTGATGCATTCAAAAATAAAAAAATGTGCTAAACAAAATAATGCCCCTTGATACATGGTACATGTGTTCCAAATTTCATTAAAATACTAAACTGATATCATGGATATTAAAAAAAAATATGTTATTTTTGAAAACTTTACCGCCCTCAAAAGTTAAGACGTTTAAGATATATGTTCATATGAATTTTCTTTTTAAAATGCACCCAAACCACTTTTCTGTTAATGAGATTTAAAATAAACACCTACACTGCTCTTTGTCATGCACTTATTGTCCAGTCTGACTAAAAGGCTTTTATTTAATTCCTTACAAGACAACACCAGTAACTCTGTTTAATCAGCATTCAATGTTAAGTTGTTATACCAGCAGTAAACTTGCATCCTTGTTGACGTTGGAACTACTGCTTAATATTTCAAAATTGTTGCTATTAGAAGCAGATAAGATATTGAAAAATGTGAACAAACAATGGGAAAATATCATTAATAAAAGCAACAAACAACGGTGGACCTGATAAGCTGAGAAACCGAATATAAAAACATATAACATTTAAATATTTATAATTATTAGGTTTTTTTGCAATATTTTTGATTTGACGCCTATTACTGTGTAGCGGACTTTTCCCACACAGTCAGTTATTGTTTATTATTTATTTTCATTAATGTAGTCTGTGATTCCCCAAGGTATTGCCAGTAACAAACCGTTTTCTTATTAATCCAGGACCATCGGATTATGGTGTAATGTTCCAACAAGATTTCTCCAACGCAAAGCAAGGATCCACCGGCAATCCAACGGGAAATGTTCCGATAAGCAACGTTTACGTAAATGGCGTCAGCGGAACCATGAACGGGCAGTACTCATCGGCAGTAACAATCAGATGTGCGGCTTGTTCAAACATCTCCTTTGATTCGAGTTTTTCGATCACGGGTGCCAAAGCCAAGGACGAATGCAAAAACTTCCAACCTACTGGCTACACATGTAAAACATAATTTTGTGCAATAATAAATTTTAATTGTTTAATAAGTTAACCCATAATTTTAATTCGCCACATCACTAACGACACTAATTAGTGGATTTATTGTTGATGAACCCAATACCAAATCTATATTATGTTTCGAACACGTGAACAAAACCAATTTTCCCTACTTATCGGTACATTGTACAAACTGTACCGATTTAAATTAATTAGTAACAAGGAGTAAAGATCTTAGATGGTTATTAGATTGAACGATAAACACGGTATGCTGGTTCCATAGCTTGCCAACCGGGGAAATCAACAGATCTAGCTCTGGATGACCTAAACAGGCTGCTATAAATAAAAGACAACAATAAATAGAAGACAAGGAGATAGCAGAGGCCCCCATTCTCCCAAATGATACCCAAAAAAATAGCAATGCCCATATACATAGCTATTAGGTGATATCTACTAGCTTTACTGCTATAAAAATTTCAACTACTAACATGCACTTTGCGCCATTTTCTTTGTAAACAATGATTTTCACACACTTAACTAGTTTTCCCAGAACATTTAACGAGATCTAGGCATATTTGTATATGAAAATATTGCAAGATGTTTTAGCAGATTTATTGGCAAACATAAATTCCATATTTTTTCAACAAGACGAGGCACCCACCCATAATTCTAAACAAGTAAGGGCCTTTTTAGAGGTCAATTTTGGAGATAACTAGATAGGTACTAATAGGCCTATCAGGTGGACTGCGAAGTCTCCTGATTTAAGCGTTTCAGATTTTTTTTGTGGATATATTTAAAACAATTTTCAATCACCACAATAAAATCAGGGAGGTCCAAGCAGCCACTGAAGCAACTTTTGAAACCTCTTGTTGTTCTGAAAGCTTTGTAGGGGATTAAAACTGTGTGGTCGACATTTTGAACAGTTTTTTTAGCTTCATAAATTAATATAAATATGTTCATGTTTACAAAGAATGGTAATATTTAATAATTTTTATATTCCTTATCATTTTAAATAATTGTTTTAATATATAGGTTCTAGTTTTAGTTTATGTTCTTTAATATAGGTCATAAAGATATGTGAAATGTTACAAATAAAATGTTATTTTTAAACTAAGTTGGCCTCATACAAATTATAAATGTTATGGTGTAAGTATTGTCAGGAATAAATAAGGTAATATTTAATAAATTCTTTTTCCAAGGTGTACCCCAAATACCTTCATAAAAATTTTAAAAAAAACATTTTTGTGGGGTCATTTATACAAATAACTCCATAAAATAAGATATAAAAAATATATTTTCTTTTCAAAAAGGCGAAATCATGAAAAAAAATGACTACGCCACTGAATTCTACATATATATATATATATATATATATATATATATATATATATATATATATATATATATATATATATATATATATATATATATATATATATGATGACACTATATTCCGGGATATCATCCGTTCGCTCGTTGAACTCCGACTGGAATCCTGCATCCGACTGGAATCCTGCAAATCTTGCATCCGACTGGAATCCTGCAGACGTTTCGCCAAAATCTCACTTGGCATCTTCAATGCTCGCGCTCCGAAAACACTTCGAACACGAGCGCGAGCATTGAAGATGCCAAGTGAGATTTTGGCGAAACGTCTGCAGGATTCCAGTCGGATGCAAGATTTGCAGGATTCCAGTCGGATGCAGGATTCCAGTCGGAGTTCAACGAGCGAACGGATGATATCCCGGAATATAGTGTCATCACATTTTTCCATCCGTGAATCAATACGTGAGAATATATATATATATATATATATATATATATATATATATATATATATATATATATATATATATATATATATATATATACAGTGTGTCCAAGATAAGGATGCACAGCATGGGGATCTCGGAAACTATAAGAGATACAGTGTCGGTTAAGTTAGACAAAAGTTGCGCATTTTGATACCGAACAAGATCCCGTTTTACAAATTTGAAAATTCCAAGCCGTTCCGGAAATATCCGAGAAAAACCGGAATATTGCGATTTCGTTTTTATTATTTTTTAAAGCTATTTGAAAAGATATGAAAAAACGGAAAACACTTTTCCATTGGCACTTTTTAATCTCTCCAAATTGACGTTAACAAATTTTCATTACAGCGTTTCGATTCTATGGAACCACCATCAACTTTGATTTTTCTTATGGGACGGAAAAAAAGTACACACAGTATTAGGTTGTGCTTTTCATTGCGAATTCAACGATGTACGATACAATATGGTTACTTATGTTTTTATCCAGAAAAATGGATTTTTAATACATTTCAGCATTTAAATGGATTAGGCCATGACAAAATGACATCCAGTCAATTTCAATGACACATTAATGTTATTTGTCTTTGTTATCAGTCGATCATAAGTTTATTCCTTTAGTTATTGTTTTTGTATTTTTATTGTTGTTGTCTTTTTCTAATTTATTTTGTTCTACAATGGAGGGAGGTAATTTTACAAACGAAGAAAAATGTGATATGCTGTCTTGCTACATCTGATGCCAAAGAAATTGTGTGGAAGCCGAGCGTATGTATTCTAACAAATACCCAGAGCGGAGACAACCTGACAAGAGTATTTTTCGGCGTTTGTTATTTAATCTGAAAGAATATGGATCATTTAAGAAGCCTGCATTATCCCGACAAAAACCTTCCAATGAAGAAAACCAATACATTGTTCTACAATCTGTTATCGAAAATCCACAAACTTCTACCAGAGAAATTGAAGACCAGAATGGGGTAGCTAAATCTACAGCTCAGTTTATTTTAAGGAAAAATGAATTTAAGCCTTACAAATTCAGAATATGTCAAGGATTAAAACCGGGTGACGACGAACGACGTAGACATTTTTGTGAGTGGTATACCAGGATGTGTGATGAGAGTTTTAATTTTCCATATAAAGTGATTTGGTCTGATGAAAGTATGGTGACCAATAACGGTATTTATAACAGGCGCAATACACACTATTGGTCGCAACAAAATCCACGTGTTAATAGACTATCCAGACATCAAGTTCGCTTTGGGTTTAATATTTGGTGTGGGATTTTTGGTAGCAAGATTATAGGCCCTATTTTCTATAATAATTCCTTAACTTCCGAGCGGTACCTTGACATCTTGAGGCACGATTTAGAAGATGCCTTAGATGATTTACCGCTAGGCGCTGTGCAAGGCTGCTGGTTCCAACAAGATGGTGCCCCAGCCCATAACTCCAGAGAAGTTCGCCAATATTTAACTGAACGGTTTGATGGAAAATACATTGGGACTTACAGTGAAACACCTTGGCCTCCAAGGTCCCCGGACTTAACTCCCTTGGACTTTTTCTTATGGGGCTACATAAAAAATGAGGTATTCAAAGAATGTTTTGACAACGAGGAACAATTACGTCAATCAGTACGAGCAGCGTTTAATAAAATTACTCCTGAAATGTTAAGTCGTGTTTTGGAGTCTACCGTGAGACGGGCGTACTTATGCCTAGAAAATGGAGGTCATTTATTCGAACATTTGTTATAGAATTTGTTTTTCATTAACTTGTTGGATTTAGTTGTTATGTTAAATGAACAGTTAGAGTTAGTAAATAAATAAACACATTAACTCGAACTTGTCAACCATTTTCTTTTGTCTTTCATCGTTCGGATCTCATGGCCTACTACAATAAAATACTAGAAATGTATTAAAAAACCATTTTTCTGGATAAAAACATAAGTAACCGTATTGTATCGTACATCATTGAATTCGCAATGAAAAGCACAACCTAATACTGTGTGTACTTTTTTTCCGTCCCATAAGAAAAATCAAAGTTGATGGTGGTTCCATGGAATCGAAACGCTGTAATGAAAATTTGTTAACGTCAATTTGGAGAGATTAAAAAGTGCCAATGGAAAAGTGTTTTCCGTTTTTTCATATCTTTTCAAATAGCTTTAAAAAATAATAAAAACGAAATCGCAATATTTCGGTTTTTCTCGGATATTTCCGGAACGGCTTGGAATTTTCAAATTTGTAAAACGGGATCTTGTTCGGTATCAAAATGCGCAACTTTTGTCTAATTTAACCGACACTGTATCTCTTATAGTTTCCGAGATCCCCATGCTGTGCATCCTTATCTTGGACACACTGTATATATATATATATATATATATATATATATATATATATATATATATATATATATATATATATATTCTCACGTATTGATTCACGGATGGAAAAATGTGATGACACTATATTCCGGGATATCATCCGTTCGCTCGTTGAACTCCGACTGGAATCCTGCATCCGACTGGAATCCTGCAAATCTTGCATCCGACTGGAATCCTGCAGACGTTTCGCCAAAATCTCACTTGGCATCTTCAATGCTCGCGCTCCGAGTGTTCGAAGTGTATATATATATATATATATATATATATATATATATATATATATATATATATATATATATATATATATATATATATATATATATGATGACACTATATTCCGGGATATCATCCGTTCGCTCGTTGAACTCCGACTGGAATCCTGCATCCGACTGGAATCCTGCAAATCCTGCATCCGACTGGAATCATGCAGACGTTTCGCCAAAATCTCACTTGGCATCTTCAATGCTCGCGCTCCGAAAACACTTCGAACACTGGGAGGTTATCGGCGGTGCGTGCGGTATTTATACTCTGCGCCGGAGATGGTAACGGTGCTGCTTGTGCGTGGGGGGAGGTGGCTGCGCCCCCTGAATTGTCGCGTTGTTAATTTCGCCCGATCGTAGTTGCGATGTCCCCGTTGGCTGCTGCGCATCGCTCTGCTGTTTGATTATCGTTCTCCACGTGTTGGATAAATGCAGAGCGTCGTCTCTCGTATTGCGGTGTCCGGACTTTTCTATTTCGATGGCCTCTCGTATAATCCTAGTCCTAAAATCAGGAATATTAGCTATTTGTTTGCAAGTGCCGAAATCAATTTTATGGCCTGTCTGATGTTGGTGCTGAAACAAAGCAGATGTTGTTTGTTTGTTTCTTATGGCTAAACGA